TTATAATGACATTTTGTCTTTCTTATCTACCTTAGGAATTATTATTATTTTTATTAGTTTCCATTCTTTTGAATAATAATTTAAAACTAGGTATAATGCAAATATCTCCTGGATTAGTAATTTGATACTCAGCCAGTATATTTTAAGAAAATATATAGTAACTCGATCTACTTCTAGTATAATATATAAGGCTTTTATAATATGCTTTTCTATTTCTTTAGCCAAAATCGTTCTTTTCTAGAGAAGGGTTCTCTTATATATTTGATTATATAGTGAATCATTTGAAAGATTATTGTCCACCTTAAATCGATTCAGAATCACTATAAATAAAATATCTGCTTTTTCTTTTGTATTGTAGATCTTCTATTTATTGATTATTAGAAAGAAGGATTTCATATTACTTTCGAGGATCAACTTATACTATCCCATAATTTGATAAAATTCTTTATTATCCTTAACCCTATCTAGATATATAGCCTAATAGAATCTCTTAGCTTGTTGTATTACTTTTTATAAAAAATGTATAATATAAATCTTTCTTTCTAAGTTCGTTTCTTTTCATATTTCTATATATACTTAATAAACTTTTCTACACTCATTCATTCATCATAACAAGACTTTCCCTACCTTTTAATCAATCTTGCCAACCACTCGGATTAACTTATCTAGTGTTTTCACAAGCTTATTAATATAGATCTCGATCTCGATTATAATCTGGATATCTATATTATTGAAATAGGCTAGCTAATTGGTTATTAGTTCATTCAATCTTGGCAGATCCGTTTCCTTTATTCGATAATAATATTAATTCTATTCTATTATTCCACGGTTCACTAAATTAATAATCTGAATAATATAATCAGATTTATAGTGAAGTTCTTTCAGTATCTCTATATAAGCGAATAGTATATTGAAGAAGGTTAGATCTAGTATATGCCCTTTTGTATAGATAAATATATTTGGGGTATCTATAAACTTTATACCCTATTTGTTTGTTTATATTACAAGCTATATCTTTTGATTAACTATAATCATTTTAGTTCCCACAGTTTGTACTTTATATTAAAATCCCTTTTTATGATTATATACTTATTTGAAATCAAGTATATAATATAATTAATAATATTCAAAGTGCACGGAGCTCTATAGATATTCAGGATCGAGTATTCATTAATTCGTATCTAGAATAAATCTTTGTTTTCAAGTTGACCTATTTGCTCTATTTTCAAATATACACCTTTTTGTATATATATTATAATCCGAGAGCCTTATTCATTCTCCTTTAAGTTTCCCTAGAGGTTCCAGTTATCAATTGGCTGATATCGATTATATATATTGTGATTTTGTATAATTGAATTCCAGTATAATCTTAGCTCCTGTAAACAGATTATATTCAGCTGAGCTTCAGTTGCTAGCTATAATAATATAATATAATTCGCATATCCCCAGCCTACATTCACTCAAGCAATAGTGAAATCTTTATTTCTCTAAATATACTTATCGATTATATTACTCATAAAAAGAATCTAGATATAATATCTATCATTATAGAAATCTCTATATCATTTATTTTCAGATTTATTAAAATAAAGGCTTTTTCTGTTAAGACTTTTATATTAAGATTCTATTGGCTTTGACTACAAGCTAGGTATATATATAATATAATTGATATAATCAGCAGACTTGTATTAAACTTATACAAATATTTACTGAAATATTCATTCTCATATATTATAATCCTTACTCCCAGAGTGACCAGGGTTTCTGCGATTATTACTCTAAAAGGTAAAGGTGATTTAGGGGTATAATCTATTTTATCTATATTTACTTTGTATAGCATTTTATAATCTTTTTTGCTAACAGCTCTGACTACAGCCAGTTCCTTTACAATCAGAACAATTTATTGTTTAATATAAACCTTAAAAACAATTGGGTAATTGGAATAGCCAGTATGGAAGAGCTTATAATAATTAGTATATTGAATTGTTCTAGTGTATTACTAATATACAAATATATCCTTATACTCAATGTTTAGTTTATTGTATATTAAGTATTTTAAGGCTCTATTATAGATAAAAGGGTTATAGTATTCTAAGTAATCAATATTATAAAATTGAATTTCCCAGGGTTTATCTAGAAAAACCAAGTAAAAGCTGTTATTGAATAGTCGAAATCGCGATACTGTAGTATTGAAGCCAATGATCTAGGTAATTCTTTTAATAATCGGGTTGACCCTACTATATACCAATTTATAGTTGATTGACTACTTGCTGATTTTAAACTATAATCTCCTTCTTAATAAGCTTAATGGATATAGAAGCAAAAGTATCTTTGATATAATAAAAATTATGTAATACTTATAGGACTGTATACATAAACCATTTTTCTAATTTATATATACTTGTTATATAAAGGGTTTTAAATATCTGCTTGATATTTTCTGTTTTCATAATTTCCTCCTGATTAGTATCAAAGCTATACTTTAATATCCAGCCTATATTGTTCCTTTAAAGAAAGAGGATTTCTGTTAGTATAATCCCAGCAACTATCTCTTTTATTTTAAATCTTAATAGAAATAAGCTAATCTCTAAAAACAGAGCTTCCCCACTAGTTATTATAAGGATTGTTTTCTCAATCCAATCATTCTCTCTTTTGAGTCTACATACTCCTAAGCAATTAGTATTCATATTTCTATTAGGAGTAAAGCACATTATATTAATAGAGCTTGTAATAGGGCTTGCTATCTTAAGCCTTATTTGAGTTTTCAGTGTATTAGTGTAGGTTTTCTATATATTGCTTTTTAACTATAGTTGCTTTATTGCAGGCTTTTTTCCTTGATTAAGAATAGTCTCTATTACTTTTAACAAAACAAAGATAATTGTATTCTTAAATTTCGCGGTGAGTTTGTATTATTAGTCTTAAAATCCTTATACAAATTTATCTGCTAGTACCGCGAATGCTTCGATTATTTCTTGTTTTTTTTTCCTTTATTTTATCAATCCTTTTAAATTATTCTTTGATTACATTAAAGGCAGAGCCTATAGGCAATCTTATAATTAATAGAAACTATATACCAGCCCTTAAGGTATTGATAACTACTTAAAGGAAAAGCATTCCCTAGGTTGAGAAACTGCTTGGTATGCCAGGAGCGTATATTGCTATTGGCGTAATGGGAGCCTCCTGTGGTTACAAGGTTTGATAGAATTAAGCCTGCCGGGGCAGGGGAAATAAATAAGGAGTATATATGAATCGTCCCTTGGAAAGTTGATATTATAATCGTCGAATTCATTATAGGTTGTTGAGAAAACGTGTATTGAAAAAAAAGAAAGTGAATTGAGGTGAAAGTGATCCATTCACTGATATAACCCACTCACTGATAAACCACGTTATTCCTTTTAACAGATAAGAGTATTAGTTAAAAGTTTAAAGGAGAGATTTATTTATCTCATTTTTGATTTATTTTTTAATTAAAAGCTTTATTATTATATTATACGATTTAGAATATATCGAATAAATAGTAAATTAATTTTATTCTAATACAAATAAAGTATTTTATATAAAAATAATCGTTTTAAACTGAAATTTAGAATTAACTTTCAAATTCAAATTTAAGAAATTTATTAAAACTTTATTAATTGAAATAATCCTTATTGGACACAAGGATTTAGATCAATTCGATTAATATTATAAAAACGATTTTCACAATACAATATTGATTATTCAAGATTTTATTGTAATTAACGAAGTATTCACTCCGTCAACTACGGATTCTGTCACCACAGGGTTGTGAAGTTGATTGGGAGACTTTGTGTGCTTTTTTTGCGGAGATGGAATATCATATGTAGCTATGATTTACTTAATGATGGAAAGTGATTTATTCTCAGGTAACTGGAACTGCCAAAGAGATCACTCAAGACCCGACTATCATGCCCGGAGGCGCAAAATTTCTGAAACAACTCGGATTTCAAGTTGTGGCTGATTCGGAAGGTATTGATGCGATTAATGGAGAAACGTATTTTCTTTATCGCGGAGATTGTTCTTCTATTACGGAGAGAATAATGGATCGGCCTCGTTCTGCGATATTTACTGCTGGCCGTTCTTTGGAATATCGGATCGTGGAGGAGAAGGATGGAGGAATTATAGGGAAAAATTGAGAGAGAGAATTGAGATAAGGAGGCTTTTTGCTTGGGAGATGATACCGGAAGTAGGGAGGGTGAGGGTATGATGGGGAGTAGATTGCATTGGAGAAGAGATGAAGGGGGAGGAATTTATAGAGGAAGTTTGTGGATGTGGGTGTTAAGGTGGTGATGGGTTGGCTTGGGGAGAGAGATGATGAGGAGTATGTTGTTGGAGAGCTTGGGAAATGAGAAGTGGAGGGTAGGATGGATATATGTTGATTAATTAGTGCTTGAGGCTAGCTACTATTATACACTAGCAGCAAAATCTTATTGATGCGAGGGTCTAGGGGAGAGAGAGCCTCGCTAGCAAGATTGCTAGCAGTATGAAACTTACAACATATCATGAGCACGCGTCAAGAATTAGAAATATATTTCCCATTGATATAGTGACATCATAAATCATGTTTGTAGTTTGCCTAGGACTTGAAATAGTGCCAATATATTATAGGTAACTAAATACCAGGCGGCATAACAGACGACTAAAGCCTAGATAAGTCCGCAGATGAGGCCGATGACTTGTGTGAAACGTGGGTAAATTGAAGATAATATTCGTTTTTTGTCAATCGACAGAACTTTCAGATGCTGTAATAAGTCTTTCGTGAAGATGTTTCAGCTCTAGTGAATGTGGATTACATATACATATTTATTTGAAAGTTATAAGGTAAGTGAATCTCAAAAATATGCTGATGAATTCATGCGATACGGTATGACTACTTTTCGGTGAAGTTATCAAGACAAAGATCTCGCTAAGAAGTTACATAGAGGATTATATATTCTGAACTTTCAGTTCCATGATCACAACAACACAGTCAAGATTTCATCATGACTTCTCCAATGGATATCACAGAATCCAATAACGTGGATTCAAAAGCTGGTGCGCCTAAACCGATCATTACTTCTACTACAAACAGTAAAAACTCTCATGATTCAGAGACAGAAGAAGGCACAAATACAACGATTGCAACGGTGACTTCTCCAAAAGACAACAGAAAAACTACCAATATGGAAATTTCGACAATCACCGCATCACCCACCGCATCACCAATAGATACACCATTCGTCCCTCCCAAAGGTCCATGTGATGTTGGAGATATAGTTTCCTACAACAAGAAGTGGATGACTCTAAAAAGTGATGGACAATGGCATGAAACTGAGGGACCGGATGATTTTGAAATAAACTTTTGCGGATTTAAGGATGCGGATTTCTTTAGGTAAGTAAATTTTTATTATCAAAGTTATGGGAAAACCCACAAAGCTAATGGCGTGAATCTAGATATGAAGATCATTGCCATGGATACAGAAAACAACTCGAAGTTTTTAAATCCTACACCGGTTATCACCGACTAGAGGAAAATTTAGATATTGAGTTTGAGAAATACAAAATCCAGCATGGAAATGAAAAAATACTCAGAAAACTTCAGAGACGATGAAAGAAGAAAAAGGTTATTCAACATGAAGATGAGGTCACACTTAAGAGATTATTTGAGGAGTATTTGGAGGCGACGAAGATAGGAACATCTATCCAGCACGAAGACGTGAGAATGCTTCGAGATTTTCTGGATTCGATGAAGAAAGGAAAAGTGAAGCCGAGCAATGTAGCCTGTCTTGGTTTGGGATCTTTTGAACGATGCGGAGAGAATAAAGCATCGTTTGGACAATTGGCGGCTCTCATGAAGATTATGGAACTTTTAGGTATGAATGATTCTTGATGAACTCCTTATTTAAAGCATATTGATAGCTGATATGAATACAATCTACAGAGATTCCACCCACTGCCAGAAAAGTTATGCAAGATCCTGATTTTTCACCTGGAGATAAGAGATTTCTTACACGCTGCGGATTTGAAGTTGTGGATGACCCTCAAGGATTTGAAGCTGTAAACGAGGAAACCCTAGTCTTCCAAGTTGGTGGATATAATTGCATGAATCAGCGAATTATGGATCGTCCTTGGCCTGCAGCATTCATTCCGATGGGAGAAGGATTAATCTTGGAAAACAGAAGCAAGATTGTACAGGGAATTCACAATTGGTATCGTGGTGAAGGAAGACCTCCGATGGATGATTGGTGGGATGGAAAAAAGAAGTTTGTGGCGATTCAAAAACTTATGATTACAAGGAGATTCCTGCGATTAGTAGTATTGGCACTGGTATGAGGGATACTAAATTTTTCTGGAGAAAAGAAGTAGTGGGAGGAAAATTTCAATGGTTTGTAGATGCTTGGAGATTGGTGGGATCACTTTTTTCTCAAAGAGATCCTGTTCGATATTTCAAGGATTCTTAGACAAGATAATTCATAGACGCATATTGACGCTTCTTGAATAGAATGTTAGGGGCGTATGGGACTAGGATTAAGGTTAGGAAGGAGGGCTCCTTTGCATAGTTCAGCTCTTCTCTCTTCATAGTTAATTAACAACACCGATGAATTATTTGATTTCTATGTTTCTACAGTGTCTTTATTACGGAGCAAACTGTGACATAAAAAGATTCACTCACAAATTAAAATTAAAGACTGTAGATGATCTTCTTATTCTTGGAGATAGTATCTAAAGTGAGCTCAGATCATCGAGAGAATCAGTACATTAGCTGTTCAAATTCCTTAGAGCACCGTATCGTACTATACTATCAAGTGAAGAATTTAGATGCTCACCACAATTTACCAGATAAGTGAATGGATAGCAGAGATATACCAAAATATCATGCCATTCACCGTAGTTCAATCTTCCGTTTCAAACTCTTCATACGGCATGACCCCACTTCTAAGCGAAATTACCGACATATGTACGTCTGGTTCTTTGACTCGGAAATTATTTCTGAAACTAAATAATCACAACAACAAAATCAAAGTCATCAATATGGCTTCTTTCCCAGATAATAGAAGATTCGGCGTAACGGATATACGTGTGGTAACAGATACACACAATGACATTTTCAAGACTCTCGATATGCATTCTCCATCTACAAGTGGAGAATCCAAAGATATGGAGATAAATGCAGTCGGAGATTCACCAATTACTCCATTGACAGATACATCATTTTCTCCACCTACAGGTCATTGGGATATTGGAGATACTATTCGATATGGAGATAAGAAATGGATGATGTTGGGAGAGGATAATGAATGGCATGAACATGAAGGTCCAGACGAATACTCATCAGAGTATCCTGGATCTGAGAAAGTAGAGTTCTTTAGGTACGTACACTTTTTATCATTATAGTCCTGGGAAATGTATCTGATTAGAAACATGTCTAGAGAGCAAGAGGATTGGTCTGGATACGGAGAGAAAATGGTAGTTAGCACAAACTGGTATGCATATCATCGTTGGGAAGAGTCGGCACTAGATGCGACATTTGAGAAATACAAGCTTGACAGTAAAGATGAAGCAAAACTCAGGAAACTTATTAAAAGCATGATGAAGGGAAAAGTAAAGCCAACAAATGTGGCTTGTTTTGCATTAGGATCTCTTCATAGCTCTGTTAATGAACCCAAAAGATCTCTCCAGCAATTTGCGGTGCTTCTTAAATTCATGGAGATCTTAGGTACGTCGGTCAGAATACTAGCAGATAGGAATCGAGATGCTAATACTCTGCGTAGACATTTCACCAAACGCTAGGAACTTAATGCAAGATCCAGAGTTCTGCCCTCGAGATGCAAGATTCTTTGCAAAGTATGGCTTTGAAACTGTACTGGATCCCGAAGGATTTGATTCTATTAATGAAGAGACATTAGTGGTTCATATCGGCGGCTACGACTTTATAGATCGACGAGCTGTGGAAAGTCATTGGCCTGCGGCTCATATCAACATGGGGTTCCCATTTTTTACCCGAGGGCACATTTTGCAAAATAAGAGCAAATTTGAGAAAAAAATCTGGAAATGGTTGTTTGGTACAAGACGAGATTCATTCAAGAGTCTCTTTAGGAAAGAAGATATTAAAGCCTGGTGGGAGTACAGAATGGAACGTGCTTTGATGACTAGATCCTATAGCTGGAAAGATATCCCTGAAGTTGGTATATGTGATGGTATGGCGATGACACAGTTCTTTTGGAGAAGAGCAGTGGTTGGAGAAAGATGCGATTTTGTTGAAGCTGCGGGAGTAATAGCAAACGCCAGCTTGCACTTGTTCACAGACGTGGTACCTATGGCCAAACTCCTTCATGATCGGTCAAAGAGGTCAAATCGGGATGACGATGATGATTGAGTATAATATAGGATAATATCAATCATTGCAAAATCGCAATGTATTCGGTATGAAAATACCCAATAAAGATAGCAAATAAGATGCGTTGATTTACAAAATACAAGATGCAGCATATCATAGCATTGTTATTTTTGACCACTAGGCCATGTTCCCAGAGATTGACCAAGTGAATCCTATCAGTGCATCGATTTTCATATTGAAAGAGTACCTCTAAACCTGATGAGTATTATGCCTGAATATATAGTAAAGTTTTCAGATGATAGCAATTTTGCAACCAAGTTCAAAACACCAAGTAGGTAGATCTATGGATATTGTTGTTGTTTTGGTCCAAAATCATGAAGCCAAAGTCTGTAGTCACAACCTAGAGGATATGACAACTGAGAAATTGTCCAGTGATAAGGTTACGTCTCGCCTTGTAGTGACAATTACTCGTTAACATACTTATCATAAACAGAAGAATAAAACCTCTTTCCAGCATCGCTATGACTCCGAACCTTTGTTCTCAATTGAGATTCTCCCCAAGTATAATACTTTCCCCTCAAAAATGGCGAGTCTATATTCTTACCACTTTCCGATTCCTTCGTCCCCTGCCCCTCTAATTGTGGCCATAAATCTTCAAAATTCTTTTTCGTAGCATCACCCCGTACACCTTGAAAAAAGGGAATACTATATCTATCATACTCGCTCGATAATACTCTATGTATTGTAGCCGGACATAAACCATTACTAGCTACTTCGAAAGCTTGTCCAATATTAACAACAAATGTTCCGGGGATATTCGGTACATCGATCCATGTTCCTGATCGATTCATAGCTTGAAGACCACGGATATGAAGAGGAGAAGCTTGGAGAAGAAAGGTCCACCATCCTGATGAATCTTTATGAGGTCCCACACCTTGATTATTGTTGGGTGAGGTGATGGGGCTGTAATGAACGACTTTTAAGCGGTGTTGAGGGGAAAGAAAGGAGTGAAGTGATGATGGAGAAATGTTTAATGCTTCCGCGACGAGTGTAAGAAACCTTTCAGAAAGTTCAAACAATGCTTGAATGTAATCTTCAACAATGATACGGATTGATGGAAGAGATGACGGCCACTATCCTAATGTTAGAATTATGTCTCGGCATCTGCACACACGTGATATCCACCTGATTTGGCCCCAGCAGTTTTTTATAAACTGGATCTCCTTCAACCCATGACGCTTCCAATTCCGTCGCAAACTCAAATTGTTCTCTTTGATCTGATACTTGAGCAGTAGTTTCTGCTCCCAAACCACTATATCCTAGAAAATGTGGTGACTTTTCCAAGGCTATCGAATTCTTTTCATCGTCAGGAAGTGCAAATAAACTTGGTAGGACATTCACAAGTTCATCTACAGTATCCTTAGGAACGCCATGATTCTTCACATAAAGAAATCCTACGTTTAAGAGAACATGTTTGAGCTCTTTCAGAAGTTGTGGTTTTGTGGATGAATCATCTGCTAAACTAAGATCCAAGATAGGGATTTCCGAGAAATTGGTTGACATGATTTAGTCGGGATAAGATATATTGAGATTTGAAAGCATAATCATAATATGAAATTAAGGACACTCGGAATTATAGATTATGTTGAAATAGGTCGGTCGCAGTGGAGAATGAATTGATTGAAATATAAGTGTAGTTTATTATATTACAGTTTGACTTAAAGAGAGAGCAAGAATATGGCTGTGCTTATGACCCAATATCACGTGACATACATGATGACTTATTACAGTTATAAGTTCAAGGCTAGCTTGAACTAGGCGATTGTTATTATATCCCTTAAGTATCTCTTTCCTCTTAGCTTTCTTATTCTAGTTATTTGACCTCTATGATATACTCTAGTATGTGATCGTGACAAAAACGAGTTATTAGATCGAGTATAAAACTCGCCGTTCAAATCGAAACGTGACTTTAAGTTATCTCAATAGCATTAATATTTGATATTCAATCAATAACTATAGAAATCATATTGTTATTATTTTAAATAATTCTATTATTTTATTATAGAATTCTATACTCATCAAAAGCATTTTACCACTATAAAAGACCTCGTGAAATTGCATGTAACAAGGAAATTGAGATCGTGAATTGGGAGCGGGGTCAACGTTTGAAGTTGAGCGGGTGGTATTCAAAGACAGAGCAAGGGATATAATAGTGTGTGAGGACATTATGTGTAGAGAATTATTTCGATACCTTCATGTTCATCCCATTTTCCCTTCACGTCGAAGAGATCAGGTAAAAACTTTGGATACTGGGAAGTAAATCGTCGTTTGACTTGAGGCTTCATGGGCGATGAATTCCCCAACGTTCATAAGAATTGAACCAACGCAATATTCATCCGTATAGTTATGCGAAGTAAGAGTAGGTGATCCAATAGGTAAATAAATTCGTTCATTTATTCCAGTCCGTATAGCAAGTACCACTTCTCTAAAAATCCACTGACCGGTCCCCATCTACATCTACCAAGGAACCACATCTCCCTTCCAAGAAACAAAGCATCCAGAAGTAGTTTCCCTACTCGCTATATCGATCTACACCATCAAATTATCAGCCATCATTCCAAAAGCCCCTCGTGTCTCATCCATCCTCCATTTAAAGGAAAAAAATCACGTACCTGTCTAATCACCCCACTCACACTCTTCTCCAAACTCATCGGCGGTTCCTTCACCCCTAGACTATCCGCAAAGGCTTGTCCATTGTCCGTTTTAACCCATCTACATCCCGATTAAAAGATTCTACAATTAGCCAATATCCTATCCTCATCCCCAGAAACCTTTTCATCCACCCCTTGCGTCCCAAGTCCCAAACCTCAAAAAGAATAAAAACAAAAACATACCCCGGATGCACCGCCACACACACAACCCCCCTCTCCTCCTCAAAATGCAGCTTCCTCACAAAATAATTCCCCGCCGCCTTACTAATCCCATACGCAATCGACGGCGTCTCATCTTCCATCCCCCCAATCGAGCCCAGATAGCTAGAAATATAAACAACCTTCTTCTGTATCCTCTTCTCTCCCCCTTCAATCAGAAGCAGAAGAACCAAGCAACAGCGGTCTCAAAACCTGATAAATCCGAATCGGCCACACCGTGTTAATCTGAAAATGCGCCTGCAGTTCCTGCACACTCGTCTCTTTCACACTCTCGAAACTTGTCGCTGCGCCGGCGTTTAAGATCAAGGTATCGATTTTCTCCACTCCTTTGTTTTTTAATCTCTCCACTAAATCATCAACAGTATTCTCTCTGTTTTCCTCTTTCTCATCGTCGATATCCGAAGCAAGCGTAACGATAATAAGTCTCGAGCCTTGCGCTTTAGAAAGCCCTTCCAGCTCAGAGGAATCGGTAGAAGTCGCGCGTTTGGTAGCGATAACAATTGTATTTTCGCGCTGGAGAAGTGTACGGATTAATTGGAGTCCGATTCCTATTTTTATTTGCTGGTTAGTATTTCCATTCCCGTCTTCACTATCATATCCATCTCCATATACATATTCCCATCCCCATCCCCATCCAAACTCAAACCATCCACCAAAGTCCCAGCACCCAAATCCATCACCACCCCCCAGAAAAAAAAGAAAATGTGGAAACCCCTAAGCGAACCCCGCACCTCAAAAAAGGGGCCCCCTTTCTTTTCCCCTCCTTTCCCTCCCAAAAAACACACAAATACAAATACAAATACAAATACAAATACACACCTTTATTTCCCCCGTAATAAAATAAACCATGGGATCCTGCATTTCGAAGTTCAAATTCAAATATGCAATACACAGAATTGCGCAATAGTATAATATCGTGAATTGGAAAATAAAATTCGGGATTTGATGATTCTGTTTCGTTCGATTTTGTTGGGGGATGAATGAATTGAAAAAAAAGGCGAGGAGTGCGAATGAGCGATTTATATGTAAACAATGCGAAAAATTCTCGAGTAAGCGCTATTTTAAATGAGGAGATGATTGGATGAAGGATTGTTTAGAGGAGTGGAAGAGTGGATGTGGGTTTTCTTTTGCGGAAGGACGATAGAATTGTGTGATGGATGGATTTGTTCGTACTGTGGAGAAGTTTACTGGTAATTGTTTGAATAAATCTAGTGGTGCGATGTGAATATGTTGTTTATAAATAAGTCGATAGAAGATGTATCCTCTCAACAAAGACATACCGATTTTTCCTGCCCCATCATTTTCTTTCCTCGTAATAAAGGAGTATATTCATAAGAAGTACCAACACCAAAAAGAAAAGTATCAAAACTCCTAGAACAAGTCGTTCATTACTCCACGAGAAGGGAAGCGTGCGAGCTTCCTTGCACCGAGAAAACCCACCATGCCGGTATAACACCGCTCAAGTCCCTTCCCATTATTTCGATCCAATCTCAAGTGCTTTATGCAAACCATCATCATCCCCAACAGGAATACCATTCAAAACATTCCTCCCATCATCCGAATCCACTTCAGATTGACCATAACAACCAGCTTGAGGTCCTTTGTACTTCCCACCTTTAACTAACCACCAAATCCCTGCTGCAATCGATAAAGCTCCCGCAATAAGACATGAATAATTCATACTCGCTGCATCGAAAGGTATTGCGTAAGGAAAACAATAGATAACCACAAACACAATTATATAGAGACAACTAATAATATTGACAGTATAACCCACAATGTCATTCATTTGAAACCAGCCAGGAATCATTCTATTATTGTAAGGACCTGATTCTTGAGGAGAATGATTGAAGCGACCTGTTAAAATGAATGGAAGAATTGAGACTAAATAAGAAAGAGTAAGAAGAACGACGAAAGAACCGACGAAAGCATTAAATGCTGTTGATGAACCGACATATATAACGCCTAGAATAGTACTGCAAATACCACAAGCGATGGTGGCGTTGAGAGGACTTTTGTGGTGTGGATGAATTACGTGTAGCCAATTTGAGAAAGGAACTGCTTCATCACGAGCAAGAGTCCAAAGACATCTTCCCGCAGTTATATATGTTCCGATGAGGGTACAGAAGATCGGAAAGAATATAAACGAAAAGGAGACCGGTTGTTCCCGCAATGGTGCCAGTGGCTTGTAGATATATTTGAGTAAGTGGAAAAAATGGTGCAGCCAATACAGCATCGAGATCGGTAGTTGCGTAGACTAGAGAATACTTAGTATTTTCCGAAGGAAGAACCAATGAAGAGCAGACGAAGAGAATAGGAGGATCATGAGAGACACAAGGAAAAAACTCACAAATAGTTATCGTATATAAAAATGCTGTAATAAAACCAATGCTCATTTGAGCACCAATCGCAAGTGGTATATTCTTCCTAGGATTTGGAATTTCTTCCGCCAAATGAGAAACACAATCAGGTGTACCAACAGCATAAGCTCCGTTTAACATTCCTGCAAGGAAAACAAATCCATTACTGGAATAACCGGTATCATTGGCCCAGTCTGCCCAAACAAAAGAATGGGTAGCATGACCAGTACCGGATGGCATAACAGCACAAACTATGATTGTGATACTGATAGTATAGAATTAGTCAATCGTCACAAGAACTTGAGTGATAAAAACTTACAAAACACCACCCAAGATAAAAGCAAGTCCAATATTATTAATCATTGGAAGAGCACGATTAGCGAATAAGACTATACAACAAGCAATCCAAGTTATGATAATGTAACCGATGAAAATGTGCCATCTAGCTACTACATAATCAGGATGATAGAGACCATATATTGCAACTACAACATTCGAAGCAATAGATGACATCGTAGCTATTGAACGTTAGATGTGTCTTGAAAACCGATGAGATTAGATTTACCTGCACCACAAATCCAAGCAAACGTGTTCCACCAACCAGCAAACCAACCACAAATTTTACCATATTTCGGACCAGGAGTAATTGATGCCCAATGATAAACTCCAGCACTACTTGGCATTGATGAAGCCAATTCAGCTAACGAAGCTGCAACGAGCCAATAAAATATTGATACAGCAATGAATTCATATAAAACACCCGGTGGACCTCCATTACTATTAACATGTTAGTCTTCGTTTCCATTCTTATAAAAATAATAACTTACTAAATAGCTGTAGCAATACTACCACCTAAAGCAGCCCATGTATTTCCAGTAACAAGACCAACTGAACATATAGAAAGTAAAGAAAAGTTCCGTTCAACTTCTTGAACATGACCTGTTTCATTGACTTCCGCTAATTGGGAATGATTCTCTCCATCGGATATAGCCACTTTTTCTGATTTGTAGGTTGATGACTTTGGCGAAAGACCCCGAAGAGACGGATCTCTTTTATCAATCATAGTTTTTTCCATCTTGATAAACCTTGGTGAATGGTATATGGGATTCAAACGAAAAATTGATCGTAGAATATCATTGATGATGGACTTATAGTGAGCTTGTGATGAACTTATGGTACACTCGAGGTGAGCTTGAGGCAGATGCAATGATTATTCAGAAGTCTAGATATGAGAGATTAACACGTATCAAGCAGGTCTTGAGTGATATCAATGAGGAGAAAGAGACAAATGAGGAGCACCCAGTTTAGATAAAAACAATATGATAAGAATGAAGGTACTTGAGGTTTACTTTGTATGTCGCCCAAAATCGTACCCCCATCTTCAATATCTTATCCATGATATCAAACAACATAAGTTAAAAGTACTGTGTACTATTATCAGTACCGGTAGTACGTGAAGAAATTCCCATTTCTATTCCAACCTATCAGCCTCGGTAGACTTAGCCATATTAAACGGATAAGACCCACCAAGATCATGTAGCTTACCGTAAAACATGTTGACCCTGCTAAAGTTGGATATGATGGGTAAAGAGATCAAAATACTCCATACAGAAGTTTTAGTAGACATTGAGAAATAAATGTTCAAAGTCCCGTATCTAAATTGAGGTTAATGGTGGGGCAAGTTTGGGGTGAAGATTGACTTGCATGAGGAGCATGGATGTTGAATGGTTCAATCAAGAGAAGATCAGATCAGATCATCTTGACCCCATACCATCATCGATAAGAGAATGAAGAGAATATCAAACGGTTTCTTTGCGTAAAAGGTAAATGTAATACAATTGATATCTCAAAGGTATTTTCAATTATTAATTTGATTGAAAATCCCCGATAGAATCATATCGTGTTACTTGTCTAAGTGTAACCATTTGGCCAGCCGAGCCAGCTTGACGGAAAGGTACTGATTGGAAACTAATTGCGCCACTCTTTTCTATTTCTGATATTGCATTGGCAATTGTTCCCCGGAGCGGACATCCGCGTGGAATTCTGTAAGTTTCCCATTGTCTTCGGACTATGTGATGTCAGGTTCTACAACCTTTAGTAGCATGGTACTGTCGTGATCAGCTCAGATGATCCTTGAAAGATATCCCAAGTGCCGTTTCTTTCCCCAGGTATTGTTTGATTAAAACCTTTAGATTTGATGAGAATTACTTTGAGAAATATGGAACATCAATGTACCATACGTTGAAGACATCATCACATCGCCTCTTTGGAACTCATTCATCCATCACGGGTGGCGGTCTGGAAGGAGAAAAGGGATGTTCTACCTCAATATCATGAGATGTTCTTTCTCATAGCACACCTAATATTATTGTCAAGGTGATTTGATTCTTCTTCAATCAACAAAGTCAATTCATTGCCGACATCCTTTGCTTCGAGTTCGATGTATCCTAAACTTTGATACCAAGGACGATTGAAAGGAAGAATTTTGTTGGTTGTGAGGGTAATTGCTTGAAATCCTTCTTCCTTTATATCTTTCATCATTCTATACATTAAAGAATTCCCAATACCTTGCCTCTGATTATCCTTCTTGACCGAGACTTCAGCCACATGGAAATTATCATCAACTTTAAAACCTCCAAGGAATCCCACAGGTTTGCCTTCACCATCAACAGCCACCCAAAGATGATGATTCTTTAACATGGGTCATTAGTAGTGACGAATCCAAGACGGAATCATCAACGGGAACGTTGAAACATGTGAACAATTTAGCTGCTGATCGTTCAACGTCTGCTAGTAATGGAATATCCTCGTGTCGTGCTTCACGTATAGTATGATGATGCGATGTTGTAATCTTTGGTTGTTCATGTACCTCTGACATGGTAGTTCATCGTACCATCAAACAAGCTACTATGCCTTTGGAAGATAATGTATCGAAAAGTCTAGAAGGGTGGCTTATGGTCGTCAACGGTAATTGTGAGACAATTTATAATGATCTGGAAGAGTGAGACATAAGCTCGTATGAAGGAGTATGGAGAAGTACAAAGTAGTTGATGAAGATTGGTGTATCGAGTTTGTATGTAGAGTACCGGTCTTATGATCAACGACTAGACGATATCAATCGATGTAGTCGAGTAAATAGATTGATGGAGGGATGAATCGAATTTGGAATATTCAATCCAGCTGAAGATGTAAAATAATCTCCGTATCGTTCTTCATTCTTCGCCCCCGTATTAGGCTTTACTTCGCTAAAACTTTCATGATGCGGCGCAACCTCGCAACATCCAACCTTCACTAACAGCCTGGAAATACAGGACGACAATTCTCTCTTGTGAGATTCCTTCTCTACTCAACTTCCAAGGTTACTTCAACAAGCTTTCGTATATACACAATTCTCCCTACAAACAATACGAATTTCATACCTCTCCTACTCCTCCTTTTATTTACGACAATGGGAAAAAAATTGAAGAAAACCAATAACCCGTACCCAATATCTTCAATCGATACCCCTCCATCTACATTTACAGATTCCCTCCTCCTTCCAAAACTTATCGTATTCGATCTCGATTATACATTATGGCCCTTCTGGGTAGATACACATGTTACACCTCCGATCAAAGCAAATTCTGAACATTCTGCGACGACCGATCGTTGGGGAGAAAGTTTTGCTTTCTATAATGAAGTCCCTTCCATTCTCGCACAACTCAAAGAACATGGCATAATGGTTGGAGCCGCGTCTCGCACATCTGCTCCCGATCTAGGAAGAGAAATGTTAAGATTACTTCATGTTATGGATATAGATGGGAAGAAGAAGAAGGCGATTGAATACTTTGATCAACTCGAAATCTATCCTGGAAGTAAGATTACACATTTTACGAAATTACAAAAGAGTACGGGCATAGCATATAAAGATATGTTATTCTTTGATGATGAGGCAAGGAATAGGAATGTTGAATCTTTGGGAGTCAAGATGTGTTTGGTTAAAGATGGTGTTAATAAAGCAGAGATCAATCGAGGTGTCAAAGAATGGAGACAAATGCATGGTCATGAAATGAAGGTATCTGGTTCGGAGGATAGGATGGAAGGTTCTTCTACTGCTACATATAATGATGGAATGGATTATGATAACGATGAATAAATAGAAGAATACATTGGTATGGCGCGGGTAACATCTGGAGTTTTGGGATAGGATAGGATTTGAGAATACCTTTTGAAGTAGAGCAGGAGGAGGAGGGGGAGGGGCAATCGAGGCAACATTCATAGATGAAGAGTATGACAATACGAGTACGGGCAGTATGGGTAGCATGAGCATTATGAGCAGCATGAGCAGCATAAACAGCATACACAGTATGGGTACTATGGACAGTATGAGTATATATGAACATTATCGATCCAATATCATGCAAATACGGGTTTTCACGATAACACCCATACATCCAACATCTTGACATCTTCAAAAGCCGGCAAAGAGGAAGATGTTCAAGATATCAATATTACATACTCATCAATACTGTTACATATAAAATTTAGACGATTCCCTTCTCTTAACCTCATTGTCACCTTTATCATTAATACCTTTATTGTCTTCCCCCATCACATTCCAACAATGCGATCGCTCTTTCATACCCCTGTCGGTACCTGATTGATTGATTGATTGATTGATTGATGACCTCATTATTTGAAACTTTGATGCTTATTCCGCGACGCCTGACTTCGTGTTGAGTTCGTGTTAATTGGAATTTCTCTGATAACCTTACTACATCAACTTGATCGATTTCAATACTTCTCAAAATTATGTTTTCGGTGACAGATTTTCAATATGCCTCCATTCCTACCGCGCAAACGATTACGTTCTTCGTCCCCAGAGTCAGATCCCAAGCCAGGTCCGTCAAAGCAACAGAATAAAGGCAAAAAAGTCAAATCTTCAAAGCCACTCCACGAAAAGCTACATTATTTGACGATCTGGATGCTGGAGCAAAAGGTCCCGAGGATACCGAGGCGATTTACGCAAATCCAAGCTACAGATGAGGATGACGAAAGTTCTTTATCGTCCTTTCGATGAGGAATTCGAGGATGTTCCAAATACGAATAGACAACCCAACGATGGTGCGACGGAGAATGAGGATGAAGATGAAGACGAAGATATTGAGTTCGAAGATGTCGATACAAATATAACAGATAAACCATCTGCGAATATACCTACAGGAGATCTGGAACTTACATTAACGAAAGAAACGAGGATTTCACTTACAAATCCATCGGGGACGAAGAAAGGACCAAGTAAAATTGAGAGGGGTATAAGAATAGCTACACATAAAGTCCATGTTCAAATGTTAATGTGGCATAATGCGATCAGAAATTCTTGGCTTTGCGATAAAGAATTACAAGATATCCTGGTGGGAAATTTACCGGAAACAATTTTGAGGGAGATTGAAAAATGGAGGAAGGATAGCGGTTTACAAAGCCAGGTAGAAGATACTCCAAAGTCAAAGGGGAAAGGAAAGGGAAAGGCCACAAAAGGAAAGAACGATATCAGAAGTCAACGAGATTGGGGACAACCTGCCGAAAGACAAGAGGCTGGTGAAATCAATATGAGTCGTGGGGATCCTATGTTTCGACTTTTAAAGTTATTGATGCATTATTGGAAGCAAAGATTTAGAATTGTCGCACCAGGTTTACGAAAAATTGGTTACATGTCTCTCGAAAGGCTCGATCAAGAATTGAAGAGTTTCCAGAAAGATGAACATGACGTTGAACGACATGGCGAAAGGATAATCAATATACATGAATTTAGGAAGACAGCTAGAATTATGGAAGGTAGTCGAGATTTGGGCGAACAACTATTTACTGCACTTTTGAGGGGAATTGGTATTGAATCAAGAATGGTTGCTAGTCTTCAACCGGTAGGATTTGGTTGGAATAAGAACGAGGATGCTGTAGAGAAGAAGGACAAGAAGAGAAACGAATCTATTCCAGAGGATAATACGTCGGATACTGAGAGTAGTGAAGAAGAGAAGCATGTCTCGAAGCCTATCTCAAAGTCTACTACAACGCCTACCACCAAGCCTACAGCAAAGCCTCCCCCCAAATCCTCGAAGAAAGTAAATGGAACAGGAAAATCCACTCTGGTTCCAAAAAACTCCACCAAACCTACCAATGATTCGACGAGAAGAAGTTCACGCGGAAATGGGCTTAAGGATGCTCCAATCGATTTATCAGATTCCGAAGAAGCTTCCCTGGATAATACTGACGACGATGATGAATCTGTGGTTGACATCACTCCAGCCAAAACTCGTATACAACCATCAAAACCTTTTGACAAAGATATATCCTTCCCAAATTATTGGACTGAGATTTTATCCCCAATTACTAAAAGATTTACAGCTATCGATCCACTCGTTCTTAATGTCATTGCGACTAATGCTGAACTTCTTCAAAAGTTTGAACCTCGTGGTGCAAAAGCTGACAAGGCCAAACAAGTAGTGGCTTATGTTATTGCTCACTGTTCAGATGGTTCGGCCAAGGATGTAACGATCCGATATTTGAAAGGTCATATGTTACCTGGTCGGACAAAAGGCAATCGAATTCCAATTGAGAAAATTCCGGTTTACAATTCTAAAGGAAAAATCAAACGTTATGATCAATACGATTGGTTCAAAAATGTCATGAACAATTATATACGAGGGAGTAATAGATGCCCAAGGACTGAGATTGATGATCAAGAGGAAGCTACTGATCTCAAGCCCATTCAACCTAAGAAAAGGGAAGTGAAAGAAGGAGAAGAAAATCTTCTATTTTTCAAAAAGTCGTCAGAATTTGTGTTGGCAAGACATCTAAGAAGAGAAGAAGCTATTCTTGATACAGCAAAACATGTAAAAACGTTCACTGTAAAAGCAAAAGGCGACAATCCAACAGAAGAGAAAGTTTATCTTCGAAAAGATGTCGTCAGTTGTAAAAGTTTAGAAACATGGCATAAAGAAGGTCGAGCACCCCTACCCGGTGAAATACCAAGAAAACGTGTACCATATCGAGCAGCGACTACAAATCGAAAACGTGAACTTGCAGAAGCAGAGTTGGAAAGTGGAGAAAAAATGTTACAAGGTCTTTATAGTCGTGATCAAACTGATTGGATTATTCCTCCACCAATTGAGAATGGTGTGATACCGAAAAACAATTATGGAAATATGGATGTTTATGTTCCAAGTATGGTACCGGTTGGTGCAGTACATATTCCTAGAAGAGGTACAAAGAGGATTTGTACACGATTAGGTATTGATTATGCGGAAGCTGTTACTGGATTTGAATTTGGTGCTAGAATGGCTATACCAATCATTACTGGTGTTGTGGTTGCTGAGGAGAATTTCGATCTTGTCATGGAAGAATGGGAAAGAGATGAAGCAGAAAGAGTTAGAAAAGAAGATGAGAAGAAAACTAAAGCAGCGATTGGTATGTGGAGGAAAATGTTGATGGGACTTCGAATTATTGAAAGAATGACGGATGAATATGGACATGGTGGAGAAGAAGTTGATGCTGTTAATCCGTTTAATAATAGGAATAAGAAAGGGAAGGAGGTTGATGGAGATCCGGAATTGGAGGAAAAAGCGTTGGAAATGCAACAGCAAGATGAAGAAATGGCAGGTGGTTTTTTCCCTGAAGGTTATGATGAGGAAGAACCGGAAGAACATCATTCGACCAGTTTCTTTCCAGTTGTTGCTTCACAGGATGATGGAGATGGTGGTGGATTTATCGTGGAAGATGAAGGAAAAGAGATCACTAATGGTACTAATGGTTCTCAAACATTTCAATTCATTGGGAATGAACATACCGCGACAAATGCAACTTCGGAAGATGAATTAGAATCAGAGGAAGAAATCCAACATAGAAAACCACAAGTTATAATTCCTGCACCAACACCCCGCAGTAGAGGAAGACCCGCAGCGTCGACGAACAAAACTCCCGCAAAAGCAAAAGCAAAACCCACTTCAATCTCCAAACCTAAACCGAAAACTCCCGCAAAACGAGCAGCTCCAATACCAAAAACTTCTGGTAAACGAAAACGTATACCGGACTCGGAGGATGATGAGAATCTTGAGGATAATGCATCTTCTTCACTATCCGATATCGAAATGGATGATGACGCGGAAGAAGAAGAAGTAATAAAACCCTCTCCGAAGAGATCAGTACCGAGGAAATCGGCAACGAAAAAAAGAGGAACGATATCCGTAACTTCTAGTCCGGCAACGAGAAAAACACCGAGTAGAAATGCTAAGAGAGTGGGTGAGACGGGGACGAGGTCGAGATATTTTGAACATGAGGATAGTGAAAATGAGTGAAGAGTGAGATGAACGGGAACTGAGGGGTAGGCATGGTGAGGAGAGGGTCGTGTGTGTGTGTGTGTGTATGATAGCTCTGAATGATACTATATCGGGTTGATTTGTTCGATTTGTATGATAAGTTATGATCTTCTTGGAGGTTAGCTTTTATAATAATAAGGAATAGTATTATTATAATGATAGTGGAAGATCTAGTCAGTTTAAGCTTGAGGGATAAATCGAATATATAGAAGAGTTGAATTGAAGTCAATTTAGAAGAGCTAGGCTGAGTTGAGATGAATTGCTTGCTTTTTCCTAGATTTTCTTTAAAGAATATTCTAGGTTTATATAGTTTATAATGAAATTCCAGTATATTCTATGCTTATAAATAAGATCGATTTAAATCGTATCTTATAGAATCATTTTAGATAATAAAAAGAAAGTACAACCAATCAATTTAGCGATATTTCCTGTATACTTCCATCTAGTTCCATTTCATTCTATTCCATTATAAATCAATTTGATAAGAGATACTATTATACAACTATATGATAATATGATTTTATAATATAAGATCATATTATATGTGTATTAGTCATCAAGATATCCCTTATTTAGTAAGATATTAATAAGTGATTTAGTGGACTTATTATGAATCCTCACAGATCTGATGTAACGAGGCGGGATTTTAATTTTGTTTTTGCTTTGGTATGGGGGAGCAGAGATGAGGTCATGAAATAGATGGATGGGTCGATGAATAGTGCGGAAACTTTAGAGAAGTTTGGTATGAGGAATGGTGAGTGTATATCCTCCATCTAGAGGTAGACTTGGAGATAGAAGATAGAAAAATCGAGTGTGCCTTTGGAAATCGAGATTGTAGGGGAGGGGTCAATCTCACTTCTGCGTTACTGCGTTTACTGCTGCATTGTATGTATTGAGATGGATTGGGGGAATGTGGGTGGAGGTGGTGTATTCTTGATGCTAGATGACTGGTGAGTGGTGAGTTGTGGGTGGATGTGGATATGGATGTGGATAATTGGGTAGGTGAGCAGGTAGATAGGTAGATAGGAGGTAGGTAGATGATTGCTGATATCTATTCATTTGTTCATCCATCCATCCACAATTATCAAATTAACACTCAAACTCAAACTCAGCCGCGACGCAATATCCAAAAACTGCCGGAACTTGGAAGTTCATGAATATCTGAAATCTCAGCTCAGCTCATTTTATATAGACTGTAGTACGTAGTACTCACTACGCACTAAGTACTTACATATGTACATATATAAGAAATGTATTTTCTGGGACTGGGAAGTTTGTTTGCTTTGCTTGCTTGCTTGCCTTTTTCTATGGTGTGTGGTGTATGGTATGTGGTATGTATTCAGATTTATATATTCAGATTTATGGATTCAATTCATGGATTCAATTCATACATTGTATTCAATTCATGGATTCAATTCATATATCTATCTATCTATTTATCCATCAGCGTAACTAATCTAGTAAATTACCTACGCCCATGACTTAATTCTTTGAGGTGGAGATCTTTGAGTTGTAGTTCTTGGAAGGAACTTTTTGAGTTCTTCGGTTCGTCTCGGGTCATTTTGGTTCGTTTTGGATTTAGATTCCGGAAGACTTCATTGATTCACTAAATGACTGGTTTCCTTACTCGAGGGATAAATAGATGGGAAACACTGAAAGATTGATTGGTATGGTTTTGGAGGTAGATTGGGTCAGGAACACCAGGAGATGATTGGGTGGAGTGTTGGGTATGTGGTTTGGAGGAGATGGGACATGGGAGATGAGAAGTATGATGGTGAGTTTGATGTGATGGAATTTGAAGTGAAGTGATTTGATATAGAAAAGAATGTTTTTGCTGTCGCTGTGGTGATTATGTTTTTGAAATCTGTTCATGGAGATTATTTCATTGTCGTTTCCTAAGATTTGTTGTCGATGATTTTTGAGGTAGAAAGGTATAAAGGTATATAAATCTTCCCTATTCCTTTTCTTTCCCCTCGAAAGGGTTTAGTCAAAATAAGGGGATGGAGATGTATATGCGTCAGATGGATTTCAAACGATAGCCTACACATCTAGTTCGTCGCGTCTGATGTTTGGTATTGGAGAGGTGAGCTCTGGGGGAGGAAATGGGTTCATATATACCGGAGGTGAGATAGGATTGGAGTTTAATGTGAAGATGGAGCTATAATGTCATTTGTGGTCTAGATTGAGCTATCAATCAAACAGCTCCTTCCGAATCAATTGATATCTGGAGGTATCCGATGGTAACTCTCCTTGCGGCGCGACTATGTTCGCGATTCATTTTCTTAACCGAGAATTTACCTCGATACTTACTCGTGATATCTAGGATCTCCAGGGCTCTCTATTTAAGCTCTTATACGGTCCATTACCTTTCTGGTCAAAGAAATTATGCATTCAGGATTTAACAACAGGGGCTGGAGTGTTGATCAGTTACGCGATATACTTGAGTGATTTTCTAACATCTAAATTGCATTTTCTACTTCTGAATCTTAGCAGTCTTTAGACCTTGCGATTTTGAGGATGGTACAAGGGTGGATTTTTGTTGTTTCTTATATTTCATATACTGCCACTTGTAATCGGTGGGAACTTGTCAAATATGATGGGTATATACATCAGTGATGATAAGTAAACAGCCATATCATTTCGACAGTCAAGCACATGGAAATTAAGTAGCTTTTCGTCTCTTCTTGATCTGAGATATCTAGTTATCCATCTGGATAGGAATTAACTTCGCTGCTTTCCAAGCTCTGCTGCTTCTTTCCTTAAGGATTCTTGTCAGATGGCTCTCGAACCATATGGCGTAATCTAGCACCCAGTGGTCCTTTTATATAACTCCGTCTTTCAAAGACTTCATGATAGACATTCAACACAAAGAATACGTGGAATTATCAGGCTTACGTCTAGTGAATAGTTATAACAGAGTTCCGTGGTAGTACAAGATGATGCTATCCATTCAGTCTTCTTTCGAGTACATCTAGATTCGCTCCACTGTGTTTATTTGACGGGTACTGTCTATATTAACTCCTCGGAACACCTCTCTCTGTGGCCACAAGCACCTCACAAAATCCTAGCACTAAGTATGCGCACAGGATGGTTTCAATGTTGATTCTTCGAACGTTCTCCATGACTGCCTTGAGATCACGAAAGTTTCAGATGGAACATCAGTCACTCCTTGGGACTTGACATATGATGTGTGAGATGAAAAGTATAGATGATAAATAACACATAACTCAGTGACAGCGAATAAAAGAGGAAAGCTGAGATGAGAAGAAAATGGCAACGAAAATAACCCCGCCGCAAGTAAAGCAGTTGCGTTGAGCACGATTTACAAACAAATTTCAATCTGAGATCAACAACGTCTTCGGAGAGCCTAAAGAATTCTAGAGAATTTTTCCCTTCAGGTGGGTTCCGCGGTGCATAATATTGAAATGTGTTGTTCTCTTCTGAAAAGCTTCTGGGTGAATAACCATCCGTGATATCAAAACCTGGCTAGAATTACCTAGACAGCACCTAGGAATCTTCAGGAGTTTGATTATCCTCTCTCATATTCACCCCATTCCCTATTTCACATGTCCAATTCAACTCCATCCACTATTACTCCAATATTTTCTCCCCCTTCAACCTTGTAGCAAATAATCAAAATCAAAAATCACCAGGACTTCAACTTTTCTCCCATCTCTCTGTATTTAATACCTCTATTCAGCACCTTGAATCGGCATAGAAAACTTGCAACGCAGAGGTACCCAACCCAGGTCAACCATGAACGGTGCATTTGAGCCGCCCAGCCTTCCGCACTCTCAAAGTCGCGAAGGCGAGCTCATTCATAAATCCCTAGAGTACTGTGAATGTACAAAAGATGATTATTTGAATATTCTTAACCACAAATTACGTTATCACCGAAAGTTTTGACACCAAAATCCGCGACAACAACTATCCCCAATCGACGACAGCCCACAAACCTCCCAGATTAACAGTCCACAAGCATGATCTCCCCCTTTCTCCCGCCCCAGAAAATAGAAAACGCAAGTCCCTGTATCAATGATCAAATCACAGAATCTCCAAAGCCGTCCCATATTTTCTCCTGACCGATCAGAATTATTTGAAGACTCTACTCTATTACCGAATCATCCACAGGAGTCTAAGTACCTAGATACCCATGCCATGCAAAACTCAACGTGAGAAATTCCACCAAATGTATGCGATTCCAGAATCATCATATTCATCTCCTACAACTGTACACAGCCGCCGACGCAAAAGCCAGGAATCTATTTGATATCTCTGTCTCTACACTTGCGAGGTATATCTCCCTCTCCCTCTCCAATCTCCTTCTCACTCCCTCTAAGAATCTTCCAGATTCCAGATTACAGATCCCTTTCGATGTCCATTTCAAAATCTACTATCACCCGCTCTTTCCCAAAAGCCATTTCGAAATCCATTCAAAGTCCTCGTAACGAGTTCAAACTTATAGCACTTCATATGGATTTTTCAACCCAAAAAGTTTTTTGAATATGGAGTTCACTTTCTGATTCTTTTATATAATCTATTCTTGGTATTGTTTAGTTTTATATTTATATTTAAATAGTTTTTAAAGGACTATATTATAAATATAAATCGAATCATCTAATATTAATAAATAATAAGAAATCTATAAATTTGTATATAAATCTTCCTATTGAAAATAATTTCTAAATTTTCTATTTATAATATAATCTTTCAAATCTTTCAAATCTTTTAGATCCTAATCTATATTCTAATTATTCTTATTTAATAATATTAAAATATCAATCTTTTATTTCTATTATTTATCAAAAAGATTGAAAACTGAAAATAATTTCTTTAATTTTTACAAATTTTAAAGGGTTTTATATATTAATAAATTCAATAATAAATAAGTTACAAAAAGAATAATATTAAAATATATAATCAAAAAATATATTATCAAAAAAATATATTACATTAAGAAAACATATGGATTATATCATAAAAAACCAAAAAAATAAATCATATAAAAATATTTGATACAAAGAAGAATGTCACGGTGTGAGATCACGTGACATATTGGTCCCCTCGGAGGGGACCGAATTGGGCGCTCGCGCCGGAGCGCAAGTGAGCTAGGGCCCGATCGGGCTAGCTCGCTTAGCAAAATCCTGTATATCTTCAACTTGGAAGATCCTGTATCATAGCTCTTTGAGCTACATCTTAATCCTCAATCTGAACCCATTGCCTGAACCAATATAACTTTGCCAGATTAGGGCAAAGTTATTAGAACCCTATCCCGCCCGCCTGCCCCGTGATAAAGAACATATTATATTAAAAAATCAAAAAGTAAATTTCAGATTCAAAAACGTTTCGGATTGAAAAATCCGTATGAAGTATCAAACTGCCTGCTACAACTAACTCAAAAGTTTGACAAATCGCGATGTGCATTCATTCTCTCCTCTCCTCTTCTCTTTCCTCTTCTTCTCTTCCTTTCTCGTCCCATCCCCCCACCTCTCCCATCAACTAAGAGATCAACGTATTCTATTACCGACTCACCTTCCCCTACTTTCACTCCTCCCACCCTCGCCCCGAGATTCACCTCACATCAAGCATCTTACAATGCATACATAAGCATAAGCATACAACATACAAATCTGCATAGATATAGGTATCCATCAATCCACCAATACATCAACAGAATTGGTTTTAAACTAATTGTTTTATTCTTCGCTATTTCTTGTACATACACATGTATATGTAAATGCACTTAATCCTCCCCTTTAGCTCCAACCTCCACCTACTCCACTCCACCTACTCCACTCCTCCTCACCTATTGTCCTACCTTCTCATCTCCTTCCGTAGCTCCTTTCCTCTCCTCTCTTGGCCCGCCTTACTCTGCCTACTCTCCTACTTCTCGCATAAATTGAACTCCTATTGCTATTCCTATTCCCAACCTTAATCCTATTCCATCCAAACCGAAACGCCGAGAAACGAAATAATGGTATCGGAACTAGAAGTTGTACGTCCACTCGTTTATTCGTTCATACTTATTTGTATTATTATTAATCTGCTTTAATGGCACTATAATATCATCAGCTTCGTACTTAAAACATCAACCTCAACCCCACCACAAGCGAACATCGTCATCCACTCCCCTCTCTTTCTTCCAAAAGGAACCACTTAAGTACCCGACTAAGCCCAAAGACAGAAGACAAAAAAAATCTTTCAATAACTTACCCATAAACCCTTCTCACAAACCAAAAACTGGTCAAAAATCCCACTGTTCCGGTTGCTAACCCATAAGTAACAGCCACGACTCCGCAATAACTGAAAAACAACATTCCACTAACAAATCCCTCAATATGCAACCTTCTCATGTAAAACCACACACAATATGCCATAACCCAAACTGCTGATCCACCTCCTACGAGGAAAGAATGCCACCACCAATTGTAATCTTCAGCACAAAGTTTTATGTAAATGGTAACGATTGTGACTTCCGCAATTGTGATCATGAGAAGAAGAGTTATGAGAGAGAGAAACCCGAATACATAGTAATACCCACTTTTATCTTGCCAAAGTGATTGAAAGACGAAAAGAAGTTCGATGAAGATTACTGCAAAAGGGATGAGGCCAGCCAGGAGAATTGAAGAGGTAGAACGGATATACCAAGGTTGAATTGGTACTTGACGAGGGATAATAGCCGTTTTTGTTGGGGATTCCCATGCACCGGAACGTGTGTAACCGTAGTAAGAGCCGGCATAGACAAGAGGGAGTTGGATGCAAAGCCATAAGAATACAAGAGCGATGAGGGTACCGAATGGAAGGGCAGTACTAGATGCTTGGGCCCAAACGAATAAATTGAGGATGAAGACTAGAGAAAAGAGGAGACCAGGGAAGAGAATGGCTGTGATCAAGGTATTTTTGCGCCAATTGAGACCTCCAAATGTTTTGTAAACACGTGCGCTGAAATAACCAGAGAAAACTCCTGCGAAGATGAAAAGACCGATTCCGACACTGATGAATCCACCACGGAAACTAGGATTCAGTATACCTAGACTACTTAAAGAAAGTAATCCAAAGGCCATGAAGACGAGTTGCATTCCTGATCCGATCAAAGGTGCTAGAAGATATCCATAAGGAGGCGGACGGAAAACATCTCCATGAAGTAATTTCCACCCAGTAATATCTTCCAGTTGCTCATCATCGGAAGAAACATCGGCATCATTCTCGGTATCAACCTGATCCAATAAACCGAGTCCAGTTTTTTCCCCAGTTTTAGGTGATCTTGCTCCACTACCAGGTCTAGATCTTCTTTTTGGTTTTGATTTTCCATCTTCTCCAGACACATCCTTTGCATATGCTTTAATATCTCCTCGAACAGTTCTGGCTAAGATCATAGCAACAATGCCACTAAGAAGACCTGAAATAATCAAAGAATTGACGATAGCCAACCAATGAATTCTTGATCCTTCCTCTTGGTTAACGAAGTATAGATCCCATCGATTTCTCCATTCGACCTTTTCATCTTCACGGAAATAGACAGAGTAGGTGTATGGAATCTCCATTGTAGCTCCATCATCTAAATCTATTTCCCTTTCCGGTGGATGATATGATGAAAGTGGGTATGCGAGGGTTGATGAAGAGTCGGTATGATTCGGGGCGAGATATAATTCAAATGGTGTATCGACATCATTCAAATCCGCAGGACATCCCGATTCCACTCTCTTATCAGCTCCAACACTCTTGGTATAAACTTCGAATCCAACAATAACCTTTCCACCCTTTTCTCCATCCTTTCCTGGAGCTTTTCGATATCGGAGAACGATTGTAAGATGGTTGTTGATGAAATACCTCGCTTTGCCAGTTTGAGAAAAATCCTTATAACCCAATTTGAATCCAGCAGCGTAATATTTCTTACTTTTATCCACTGTCACAAAACTCGTTGCTCCAGGTAAATTATCCACAATCCATTCCACAACATACCCATCCTTAACCAATTCTTTTGCGCGCTTAAGATCTCTTCGGGTGACCGTTTTGGAACAGAGGAAATTACATTCTTGATCCTTCCCCATTACCAATTCGATATCGGATTGTGTGATTCGGTCCCCTCGTAAGACTTCGCCAAGATTCAATGATATACTTTGGCCGCTGAGCAGAGAAGATCCGGCATGACGAACACCGGTTGGAGGACAGACGAATGGAAGATCGTAGTAGGCATATTGTAATTGTGTATTATCGGAGTAAACCTTATTAACTAGCAAAGGGATTGCTTCGTTGTCTTTATAACTCTTAATCGACCAACCTATATGAATGGGAGGACAGTTAGATCATTGTCCGGAGTTTAACATCTAGCAGACAAGGGGGTGAGATGAGATGAGATGAGATGAGATGGATATGGCAGAAAGCGGCAGACGTACCTGGTATGTAGAAAGCATCCGTTATTGAAATTGCTAGAAAGAATAATAACCAACTTCCTATCCTCATTGAAGAATTGGTAGCCATAGTACTGATGTTATCTTGTCCAATAAATTATTAAAAGGTGTAAGTCGCTCAATAAGAAATTGAACTTCCCCCAGGTTTGAAGTCCGTAAGTTCCGTAAGGTCCGTAGATGTCTTTGGATGACGGTCGCACCAAACGGAGTTGTCGAGATTGAATTGAAGATAATCTTCTTATCGATGAAATAATGTAATGATCGCGTGTTTCTTATTAAAGTTTTCCTCTTCTTCTGTTGATGAGATAGAAAGGTATCCTCCTCCTTCTTTCCCTTTCTCCCTTCTCTAATCTTTAGCCAAGATGTCGTATCGCTCTGTTGCTCCTTCAAGATGGATGCGCGATGGCATAAAGCGTAATATGGGGATTGGGATTATATTTTCAGATAAGAAGCTTAAACCTTCAAGGATCAAAGCAGAGTCCTTGATAACGAGCGCAATTGGCACAAAGTACCTCTTTTGAAGAATTTAAATCGTGATGGAGATGACGGGACTGTGAAGTTGTCTTCTCATGAATGAAAGGAGATGGAGAAAGTGGTATTGGTGAATGAATTATGTTATTTGATGGTAGAGGATTTAGATGTACCAAGGTTCGAGGCAAGCCGATGAAGATTGAAGTGGAACTAGAACGAGAACGAGAATAGGAACGAGAACGAAAACGTGAACTAGAACCAAAACTACCTAGGCGGACAATATTCTCCACCAAAACGGCTTGAACAGGTTTGGAGTGGGAGGTATGGCAAGGGAAGGGGATGGAGATGGAAGATGGAAATATATAGAACAATTAAGATGGTAGGGACATGTACAAAGTAAAGAAGAGTGAACAGTGAAGAGGAGATATATTCACATTTCCTTGTACGTGATTGGTACGGAACATATTCTCATATCTATGGTTGTATTGTGACGGAATGAAATCTCATGCATCTATTAATCTATTCATCTATCGAGAGAGTATTCATCCATCCATCTAGACCATTCCGAAACAAACGACCTTCCCCTTTTCATTGATCCCGAATACATCGGATATCATTCGTTAGATATCAGATATTGTTACCGAAAATGAATAAATTGATACTTATCAAATGGAAGTAATAAGCCGAGATATTTATTCATTCATTGCCCCTATGTACCTATCTAGTATTTATGTGTTGATAAATTTATTATGTATTTATTATGTATTTATTATGTATTTATTATGTATTTATTATGTATTTATTATGTATTTATTATGTATTTATTATGTATTTATATATTTATATGTTTATTATCATGTGTTCATGTCTAAAAATAGTAATAATTCCTCTTCACCTTATATCCACTTACGCCACACGTGAAATTTGGAACTCTTGTCTTCCACCAAGTTGTCTTTGACCATCTCTTGTCCCGAGCCGCTTAGTTCGAAAACTTCAAACACGACGACAACATCAAATCGTCAGAATGTCTTCATCTCATCTCTTTTCTCTGAAACAAATGACATCCGTGTTTGAAAACTATTTGTTTATCAATTCTCCCGTCATAATCTTCCGTCATCCCGTCTCAACCCCTCACACATCACGGCACAGGATGTATCGCATGCAAAACGTACATGTCCGAATGAGCTTGAGGATGACGAATCTCATGCCTGTGCTTGCATATCTACTACGCAGTTCATGTCGGCCCTCTTAAAATAGGTCGTAGATCAAAATTTGAAGCGGGCGTACGCAATAACATGTTTCTAGAGTTAGAAACGCGAATGGTAGGTAAGAAATTGGACTTGGGTGTTTCGTAATGCCACAAATCGTATCTCATAATGGGAGAAGTGGTGTATCTGGAAGAAAGATTGGCTTGAGTCACATTGTAAGATTCTTGATACTTGAATATCACTTCTTCATCCCACGAAGGACAATGTGGACGGTATAATATGTGTTTTTGCGAATCTCGAAAATTCTTCATTCCTCTCAAGTCTAGAACATCAAGTTGATGATCAGCACCTAATAGAGCGAAACGTTACATTGATGGGCGTCAATCCATTCGCAGAGATTTGAACCTAAGCATTCTTACTATGTATCTCTATTTTCCATCTTTTGAGTTTGTCGACTCTGATCTTTGCCCGTCAAGGTATGGTTTTGATATCGTTCACGTGATATATTCTTCGTATCCTCGTCTTCTTTCAATTGCTTTTTGTCTTGTTGCACGTCTGTTTCACTTCTAGCATACATATCAGAGGGATTCCCCTTGTCTTCTATTTAATTGGGACGAACCATGTTTCCTGATTCTTCTGTCCGACACGTGATTCATAAAAATGAATGTACTTATGGTGCATAGCTCATCCTGGGGTTCCTCACCGGTACATTCTGCTTAAAAAGCAACAATTGGACTAAGGATAATGCATGACCGGTACTTTACCGGTATATTGGCGTTCCATGGCAAAGTGCGCCAGATCTCAAAGACCATGTGTTCAGACTGCAACTACTCGTTCGTCGCACCATTTTTACATGATAGAGACAGGGCGTCGATCATATATCGCTTTCTCACCAGCTCTAGTACAATTCTTTGAATTGCTACGTAGGATTCATCGGCTGTGTATATCATAGCGATACAGCGATAGATCATCTTGAACGTGGATATCCACACAAGAGAACAAAATCTTGGCGAGAAATGGCCCCTCGATTTTGTACTATGTACCACAAATAAATCCCTCCAGTCTAATGAAGATGTCAAAACTCGAAATACAAAAAGATCTCCACCAAGATTCTTCATCTGTCAAAGACCAAAGACCGAGTTGACAGCAGATCAACAGAAGTCATACGTTCCGAAATTTGGTTCGCATTAGCTCTCGGTCTTGTCCGACATTTTCACTCCTGATTTCTTAGGTTTTGAGTGTTTAATGAAGAGTACACCTAGATTTTGGATAGCAATCTTGGTATGATGTCAAAAATTTATACTTTGAACAGTCTCCACTCCGTCTGAAGTGCACGAAAATAGTTTCTGTTCTTCCATTTCCTACTGACTGTCTCTTTATTCCCGTTAGCTAGAGTTTTGAGGATGATCATCTAAGATATCGATGCCGCTATATTCGAAGTAATCTACAATTAACGGACAGAATTGGAAACATAGTGATGATATGAGCTTGAGATCTGTGAGTATAGGGCTATCAACACCAATCAACCATTATTCGTGAATAGATATACATCTATGACTCCACAAAGACTCAAAGTATCCAAGCTTCGTGGCTCTCATTAGATCGACCTAGATCACTGATTTTCAGCACTAAGAGCAAAAGGCACTAGTGTGAGACTTTATGCTGTCTATCATATACCGGATTATCGCAAGCTTGGTAGTTCAATGCCGTCTCAAACGAGGATACATATAATGAAAGATCTAAGGGGGTCGGCACTCAGATCCGTCCTACCATGAAAATATTATGTGAACATGCAATTCACTCACTGGAAGATAATTTTTTATTCGGATTATTGTTCGAGTTATCGATTGTGATAGTCAAGATTTTCATCATCAGGATAATTATCGGGAATAAGTTTAACCTATCTTATTGTACGCGTATGTTACAAGGAGAATGAGGAAGTACCTTGCAATCTCTTCAATCCTCTTGTTCATCTGTTATCCCCATTTCATTCCCGTTAGTTCGAGTTGTAGAACGGTAGATACTCATCTTCCATACCTTTGATATCGCATCCCTCCGCTCTATGCATAATCCTCATAAAAACGAATCATAAAAACAAATCATAACTCCAACGTTGAACTCAAATCTCAGGTACCCGAATGCAGATGATTCAGCCTTACACTACACAGGATTTTAGTAGATAGTTCTTACAAAATCACATGGCCTACGTGTCAAAAGTTGTTTAAAATGCGCCACCCGTTGCCTATCTTTTCATAATATTCGTCGCAATGCTAGCAGCCTGAGGGAAACTTCTTAGGATATTATGTAGTAGATCTGGTCGTATATAGTTACCTTGTACTATACATGTTTAGTTAGACGGATTGTATAATATATTATGAAAAGCTTATCAAAGAAGATCATTATTTCAACCTTGGATTGGCCTTTTTTTATCCATAATTTCTCACCCCTCGCTCTTCGACCTCCATCTATCATTGGCATCCTGGATCAAATCCTCCACTCACAAACAACTTCGTACATGATCCAATAGGAAGTCCTACAGCTTTAGACTTAATCAACTAAACGACAAAGTATTACTATACAAACCGTTACTGTCCTTGTACATCATAATGTCTTTGATTTCACCTACAAATTGAGATCGATCGACGTTGCATTAGTGCAATCTCAGTATCCATGCATTATTCATCGTATCCTTCTCCATTAAATCTTGACTCTTGAGGGTCCAAAGTTTGAAGGATTGTATTTGCGCATCGTATACGTGAACTCTATCACCACTCGAAGCGAACGCACCCCGCAACATCCTTCGATAACCGTTCCATAATAAGCTACTAGTATCAATACAGCTGCAGGTATATATTGTGTCCAGAGCTAAGGACAAAATGTGAACCTTCCAAGCTTCGGTTGCACCCATTATGTCACGAGCCACGCCATCCGCCATAACCGCGTGAGCTGGTTATGGAATTTCTGTCGCATACTCAGCCTATCATTGTCTTAATCTACAGTAGTCATACAATGATCAACAGGTTCATCTACCAAATCTGGAAGCTATAGCCATTTACAGTTGGCCAATGCTTGTACCTGCGTCTGTGCGCGAACTATCTTTAAGGTTTGTATTAGTAAGGTTTCTATACTCCAATCGTCGTGTAAACGAGATATAGCCTTCCAATCAACCTAAAACCCCAATGTTTCTGCACCCCGACCATTCTGCGCTCTAATCATACATTCTGCCTAGTGGACCATCAACCTTAGAAAATCATCTAGTCCACAAACTCCCGGCTTGCTTGAAAACCTTTTAGATGTACAAGCTCCGCACAAGGCCAAGCTTATAGACTAAAGATTTTATAGTTTTCACGTACTATGCTTAGCGAACGCATCAAACAACGGATGACTTTTATACGTAGTCGAATTCGAGATCTCCCAACTGATGCCCGATCCTGGGCTCGCAAACTCCGAAGCAAGCGCCATGAAATTAATGTTAGTGTGTGGATAGATAAATCCTTGATATTTGGAGCTTGCGATCTCTTAGTCCTTGGCCAAGTGAGTGACACCTGAGAATCGTACGGTTATGGCAAAGTAAGTATTGGATAGAGTTTTCGTGCCTGAAGCTGGTGGGTTCAAACGTGGTATTTCTTTTTTACTTATATGGCATGATTTTCCTAGAATAATGGGAAGATCATTTAAGTTCTTACTTATACCCGTCTATATTTTTTGGAGATAAAGAATTCCTTTTGAAATAATATCATTTCCAACCCGCACAAGTTGAACACTGAACCTCTCTGATCCAAAATCAAATAACATCGGTTTACACAACCAAAATGTCTTCCTCAGCATCATCGTCATCGACGTCGAATATACAAAAAATCAAAAAACTCTTGTAAGTTTCTCCCATACTACAATCTTTCCTCATATCTCACACTAACACTTCACTCTCCAGTAAGCTCAAATCCCCATCTTCATCACGCTCCAACTCCCGCTCCACAAGCCTATCCACAAGCCCATCCAGCACCTCTCTCCACTCTCCCCATCCCTCACCCACATTCGACTCCAAACCACGCATCCAATCCTCCTCAACCATAACGTCCATCACCTCCTCCCACTGCTCGCACTCCTCCTACTCCACTTCACGCAAAGGATCCACATCCGGGCTCTCCACCGCAGCAGCCTTCTCCATCTCCTCCTCCAACCACACCATCCTCGAAGACTCCCGCAATTCCATCGACTCTCGGAATCGCATCGCGGGTCTGGGACTCCGCGGCAGCGGGATCAGTATGGGAATGGGTGGCGCGACGACGAGGTGTAATAGTCTCTCGTCGATGATTTCGATTGGATCGTTGGAGATTGAGAAGACGGAGACGTTTGGGGTGGGAGATTGAGGAGAGGGGTGTGGGGGATTTGGAGTTGGAAATTAGGAAGGAGAGGAGGAGGGGGAAGGTGTGGGAGGGAGAGTTGGGGGACTGGATGTGTTAGGATTTGATGTCTGGGTGGGAGAAATCCATTCTTTGGATTGGAAACATTCATTTATAATAATCGCTTGGATTATTGATTTCTTTTGTCTTTTGATTTTTGGGGGAAGGATAGCGTCGTGGCTGCATAGTAGGCACGCAGGTAGCAAGGTCTTGATAAGGACCGGAATTGAGAAAAAGAAAAGCATGGATGGATGGATGGAATGGTTACGTATATGGATATGGAAGTATCAAGGGCTGATTACTTGAGTATCGAATGGATAGGATGGGATAGGTTGGGATATGATACATCGGACTTTAATCGAGCCGATTTCTTTTTTGTTGTTCTTGGGCTGGAGAGGAGAAAGTTAGGACAGGGAATGGACCTTATGTGTTATGATATGATGATAATGTTTTTTCTCAAAATTTTACGATCGTGATGGTGTGATCATGTGATTTTATGTGATTATGATTATGACTGAGTGATGATATATTGAGAGTTGACCTCTGAAGGTTGGATTGGGGGGTGGGAAGTTGGAAGGTGGGTGGGTGATGTATGTACGTATGTTGTATGTATTTATAGAATGATAGATAGATAGATAGATCGTCGATGGTTGATTCTTGTAGATAGATAGGATAGGATAGGATAAGATAGTATGGAATTCTAGAGTAGTGGGGACTCCGGAGTAAGAATTTTCATCTTAGGTGCATGTATGGATGGAATTACTAGGTACATGGAAGGATATGAGATAAGCGGGAATCAGAGGATAGGATTGGATGGGGGTAGGCATTATTTCTGGATTGTTATTGATAACTAGGTACTAGGTTGATATTCAAGTATTCAACTAGACAATATATTCTCAGGGTAGAAATGCAGAAAGAAAAATGATTTACTTGTTCTATCTCCGAATCCTGCGATAGAAACACACAAGGAAACTATGGGATACACATACTTAACGCCGATTATAACTCCGAAGCGTGATGTGACTTCTCTATCTAGGTATGGTCCGATATTCTATGAAGTAGTGCGATATTAGATCACTGTCTAACCGCGTGAAGAAACCCGCGATCTCGGGACCGAAAATCCCATCCTGCACTAAGTGGTCGGCGGCCCCGACGAGCCATGATTGACAATCTTTCTGGGTGATTTTTTTGCCGGGGTTGGTCTTTGGAGAGCCAGGGTGTGTTAGAATGGTAGATGTGTGATGTGGATTCAGAGTAAGTTGTTTGGGTGATAAGGGGTAGAAAACAAAAGTCTCGGATACTCGAATGGAATTTAATGTGGAAATGTCTCACATACCTCATCTTCCACAGAATTTAACGTCTTCCCGGGGTACCTCTTCTTTTCTTACACTTTTCTCAAATGCACAGACCGTTCTTCTATACATATCCACATCCTCACTCACATCCACCCCACATCCCCCGGCATCTAGTATGCTCCCACCATCAATCCACTGCAGTGGAATCCTCTTTGTAGGAATATCCTCAGTGGTATATAAATTATAACTGCATTGGATTTCAAAACGAAATCCATTCCTTACATCTCCGGTGGCGTGGAGACGAACGCCGATGGAGGGGTGGGAGGGAGAGCGGATGAAATAGGCCCAGTGGTCTTTGTAGGGGTGGCCGTTGTAGGTGAGGAGTTCGATGAGGAAGGTATTTGGGGGACCTATGGGTGGGGGAAATGGAGTGGGTGGTAACTTTGCGGGAGTGAACGGTCTGGAGAAAATGGGGGGAGGAGGTGGTGGTGGAGGTGGTGGAGCAGAGCCGGTGCCGGTGCTGGGGGAGTGATTTGTGATTTGGAAATCATCTGATAATGGAGTGGAGTGACCAATTTCTATTGATTCGCTAAATATCGTTGACTCCTTATTCTCAATGGGTGCATGAGAAGGGGTCTGAGAGGTCATGATGATAGCGTCAATCTTTTCGATATTGCTAATATATACACTTAATAACGTTACTCTAATCAAAAATTCGACAAAGTTCAGACAATTGAAAAAATAGCACAAGAAGTAAAACAAACCAAAAAGTAAGCAACTTGCGGAAAAAAGAAATTCAAAAGTTCCTTTTGAGTGAATTTCTAGGCAGTCGTTAATGTAGGTTAAATCAGCCTTATAAAAATGGGTCCGGATTCTGTCCGGGGTAGGTTAAGGGGGTCCCACAAATCTGTGCCGTGAACGTTGGTGGCGCTTTTGCTTTACACCACCTACGTTGTCTGGGTTTGTGTTTTTGGAGTTTTGTGGATGATGTATTTCGATAAAATAATTGTCTGGTTTTGATTTATAACACAATATGTGATGGGAGAAAAAAGGGAGATGTATTGTTTGTGAGGAATCGAGTAGATGAAGGGGTCGCAATTTTGAAGCAGGATAGCTTTGATCTAAGCGAGTGGATTGTTTTTGTAATTAATCCATAAGAAAGTGGTTTTGATGACACTGCTCGTCAAATTCTCCGGGTGAACAGATAGTGAGTGAAATAGCATCTCAATACAAATCAAAGTGCATCAAGGTATTCGATGACAACGAAGCCATGCCTGACTTTTTAAATGTTTGCCGAATCATGTTCTTGAGGTCTGTTGTATTTGTTGAGAGATCGAGCAGGGAATGTTGAACCTCTTATTGACGCCAAACCCTAATTTTGAGGTTAATTTTTACTACCTAGGTATCATCCGGTACGGTTTTACATAAAGTGAGTTCCATAGGTCGGAATATTTGATAATAATTTTCCGGGTCTTAAGAATGACGTATAGAATATCTTCCTAAAAATCGCTCTGGATTATGATACTTGATAGTTATAGGCTTCATTTTTTGTTCAGGAGGACATGGTTTTTGGATAGTTGTTCAATCTATTACATTACTATTGACATCCGCTATTGATATCTGTAAGTTCTACGCGAAAAAAAACATAAATATACATGGTAAAGTGAAAAATATTCCAACGCTCAATCTTGGAATGCTTCCTGTTACCAAAATCCAACTTTGAGAACTACAAAAAGATAAACGCCGTTCCAATTTCAAAGTACAAAAGTGAATAGAATTGACAATTTAGTTTTCAAGACAATGCTTTCTTTTCCTTTCACGCAATAAATCAAAAACGAGTCGAAGTTCATGAATGTCCCATATGAAAGAAGACGATTCTAGAATCTTTAGAACCCATTCAGAATCTACAGGATGTGTTCTGTACGCCTGAGAAATACCCCTAGGATATAGAAAATTGATACAGGCTAGACGGTACGGATTTACATCCCTGTGATTCCTCCAGAAGTTGACCCATTGATCTTCATTTCTCTCTACAGGCAACGATACGATATCTTTGTTCACGTCGACATTTCGTGACAATTGCTCATCTGCCCACTGACATCGTGCGTTCTCTTCTTCTAATGTCAGATCACCAATCATTTCCCTGACAAATGAAATGCTCTCGTAAGAAAAGATACTGCAATTGATGTCGGTAGCCTTGAGAGCATAGACCCCATTCCAATCCAACTTCGCACATTGTTCTGAATCGAGATGCTCTCTCAAGGGTTCGAGAAGTGACGTTAGAATGTTGAAGCACGCGCACTCAAATCTGTAGCGATTGTAGTCTTCGTCTTCGTCTTCTTCTTCTTCTGGTGTGCGGTATTCACGGTCTGGTTGAACACATAACCGAAGCTCGAGTATTTTCCTCGTTCTTCGTGTTTCCCCTTCCCCCTTTCCTAACAATTGCTCAACAAGCTTTTTGATTCTCCCTTCAAACAGTCTGTACGAGTCCGCGTCCCCAGATAAAACTGGAGCAGCATGATCCCCAATGCCACTAACGTTCAACTTTATGCGTCTGATTTGACTGCCGTGATGAACTAAGAACTTGTCCAATCTCTGTCGATTATTTTCAATCAGATCGGGGTCTTCTTCATGCTCATCCTGGACCGGTATTGCTTCGAAATTGAAGTCTGCCGCTTCTACTGTGGCTATCCAGCCTCCTTCCGATTCATATATCTCAGGGTATCCTAGATATTCAGATTCCTCGAGTTCCAGTGTAATCGGAATGAGTGTTTCTCGATAAAATTCTGTCAAACATGTAGCTCGCACATCCTTGGATATTGATAGCACATTGAGTGCATCGTTGATATGTCTCGTTTGAATCCCATAGTTAGAGAATCTTGAGCTTTTGTCTTGGGCCTCCTTAAGAAGCCGTTTGAACGTAGTATGCAGAATTTCGTTGGGAAGATTGAGAAAAGTGAAGCGTTCGCTTCTCTTTGTGATAGGAGCAGAGGTCAAGTTTGAGGATTCACTACGATTGTTTGTGAAACTGAAGATCCCATAAGAGGAAGACATCTTGGAATGTGAAGTGATAGGAAACACTGATATAATACCCGTATAGACAGGCATGAGTATATGCGAATGTGTAAATGTATATGAATGTATGAATAGATAAAATGTATGAACTCACTGGAATAATTTTGGAAGGATGATACGGAGAAAAATAAAAGTTTTGGAGATTCTCGCACGTCATGAAAGCTGAGAGAAGACTAATCCTCATAGTACCATTTTTTGACTGTTCGGTTCACACCGGAGCATTACTAGTCTATAGACCATTTGACTGATTGGTGCAGATCCAGATACTCTAAGTTTTCTGGTGTACTTACTTTTCAATTTGTTATCAAATTGTAGACTGATTCCTCAGATTTCGATCCGATCAAGCATATAAATGAATGAATGGAATATGAAGCATGGGATGAACACACAGAATGATTGCAATATCTGAGATATCCATGATAAATCCAGCCTGATTGTTGAGAAACCAGATTTTACTGTTCTCGTCATGAACTGGTCATGACTAGGAAGACTAGCTCCATATAGTACATGAAATAGTATGAGCTACCCCAGGTTTTTTTTTCAAAAGTAGAAATTTGCGGGGCTCCCTCGTCAAGCTAGGCGAACTTGGCGAAGTATAAAATTGCACGTGATGAGATATTATGTAATCACGGACTTCACCTCTCAACCTCGGCATTGCAGCCTCGCGATATCTTCATACTTTGACAGCTTCTTATTAACAGATTCTTATAACATTCAACTCCTTTTTCATATCTATCTATAATGTCTGCGGTTATTTATTATGCCATATGAAACACAAATAGTGTCAATTTTAATATCTTTCAATATTCATCTGATAATTTCGACATTGGCGTCTCTATCAAGCACAAGCTCATCACAATCGAATCGCGAAGCTGAGGATTGAATTCTCACACGAACTTTTACGAACACCACGAATACAACTATCAGCATTGTGTATCAAAGCTTGCCATTCCAATCCAAGCTGCTCACTACAGCTTCTACGACCCAAAGTAGCCATCCAATACCTCGCACAGCAAATCTCACCGCGCGTCCATAATGTCTTCAGAACCACCCCTCGACCCCTACAAACCCTCCCTATTCGAACTCCTCTCCTCAACTCAACTATCATCTCTACTTCCTCCCTCGCTACATTATCTCCTGACTGTCGCTACCCATCGACATCCACGCCACCTCCTTCCAATCCTCAATTCTTTCCACGAACTCCACGCCCTTCTCTTCCTAGCAATCGAACATCACTACCTATCAACCTATTCCTCCTCCTTCGTCGAGAACTTCTACTCTCTAAAACGCGAACGAGCCCTACCCCCCGCAATAGGCTCCTTAAAATTGACTGCCGAAGGCGCCAACGCCAGTCTACGAGAAGCAACAAAACTTACAACAAAAGACGTATGGAAAAATCTCGCTGTCTTGGTCGGAATCCCCTATCTCAAACGCCGCCTCGATGAGTCCGCAGAAATAAATGCACCTCGCGCCCTCCTGGGCGCAAATTACACCCGCATGCCACCAAATCCTACACTCCGCCAACGATTTCTCCATTACTATCGCTGGTTTCTTACTAATGTATATCCCAGCGTCAACGCCGCGTATTATTTCAGCATCTTGGCCTTCAATTTGCGCTACCTATTTTCCAACTCAAAATCCGGCTCAGGAGTTTATTCCGACCCCTTTCTCTGGCTTATAGGCACTCGCATCCGAAGATTAAGTCAAGCAGACTTCCAAGCATTTGAAGCCCTTGCAAATGCCCCCTCATCTACGACACCAGGAGGTAACCTGGGTATAAGAAGTCTGTTAGATCCGAGATTGGCGATGGGAAGATTAGGGGCTGGATTGAAGCTGTTGTTACCAACGAGTATCTTTGCGCTCAAGTTTCTGGAATGGTGGCATGCGAGTGATTTCGCGAGACAATTGTCAAAGAAAGCGACGGAGGGATTGGAGCTACCACCGCCTATCATTTCGTATACACCTCCAGCCACTACTCCCTCCAAACCATCATCCTCATCAAAGCCGGAAGCCGCATCTCCAACATCCCTAGAAGATAAATCCTCAGAGGAGCCCATAAACCCACCCATCTCGACTCTTACCAACCTCCCAATCTACGTTGTTCCCGCACCTTCTTCCTCAAGCACAGAGGCTCTAGAGAACTGTCCGATTTGCTTACAAGAAATCACCACCCCAACGGCTTGTCAGACGGGTTATGTATACTGTTATACTTGCATTCATCGCTGGATCGAGGGGGTACATGAGTTACAAGAGACATTTATGAAAGGAGGGGCAGAGGTTGTAGCGAGTGGTGAGAAAGAAGATGAGAAGGAAAAGGAGAAATATAGGGAAACAAGAGAAGGAAAATGGGAAAGCGGCGCAGGTAGATGTGCGGTTAGTGGAAGGAGGGTATTGGGTGGTGTTGGGGGGTTGAGGAGAGTTCTGGTTTAAGCACGAGGATGCATATTGGCTTGGAAAGTCGGAGATATGACGAAAGCTGAGATGAGATGATAGTCTTCTCCGGAATTCCGAGTTCACATCATACCATACTATCATCCACACTCAGCAAGAGGAGAAACGAAAAACTACAACTA